TCCCCGGCAGTGGGCTGTCCCCCGGCAGTGGTTTGTCCCCGGCAGTGGTATGTCCCCCGGCAGTGGTATGTCCCCCGGCAGTGGTATGTCCCCCGGCAGTGGGACGGCCCCGGCAGTGTGAGGGCCCGGCAGTGTGAGGGCCCGGCAGTGTGAGGGCCCGGCAGTGTGAGGGCCCGGCAGTGTGAGGGCCCGGCAGTGTGAGGGCCCGGCAGTGTGAGGGCCCGGCAGTGTGAGGGCCCGGCAGTGTGAGGGCCCGGCAGTGTGAGGGCCCGGCAGTGTGAGGGCCCGGCAGTGTGAGGGCCCGGCAGTGTGAGGGCCCGGCAGTGTGAGGGCCCGGCAGTGTGAGGGCCCGGCAGTGTGAGGGCCCGGCAGTGTGAGGGCCCGGCAGTGTGAGGGCCCGGCAGTGTGAGGGCCCGGCAGTGTGAGGGCCCGGCAGTGTGAGGGCCCGGCAGTGTGAGGGCCCGGCAGTGTGAGGGCCCGGCAGTGTGAGGGCCCGGCAGTGTGAGGGCCCGGCAGTGTGAGGGCCCGGCAGTGTGAGGGCCCGGCAGTGTGAGGGCCCGGCAGTGTGAGGGCCCGGCAGTGTGAGGGCCCGGCAGTGTGAGGGCCCGGCAGTGTGAGGGCCCGGCAGTGTGAGGGCCCGGCAGTGTGAGGGCCCGGCAGTGTGAGGGCCCGGCAGTGTGAGGGCCCGGCAGTGTGAGGGCCCGGCAGTGTGAGGGCCCGGCAGTGTGAGGGCCCGGCAGTGTGAGGGCCCGGCAGTGTGAGGGCCCGGCAGTGTGAGGGCCCGGCAGTGTGAGGGCCCGGCAGTGTGAGGGCCCGGCAGTGTGAGGGCCCGGCAGTGTGAGGGCCCGGCAGTGTGAGGGCCCGGCAGTGTGAGGGCCCGGCAGTGTGAGGGCCCGGCAGTGTGAGGGCCCGGCAGTGTGAGGGCCCGGCAGTGTGAGGGCCCGGCAGTGTGAGGGCCCGGCAGTGTGAGGGCCCGGCAGTGTGAGGGCCCGGCAGTGTGAGGGCCCGGCAGTGTGAGGGCCCGGCAGTGTGAGGGCCCGGCAGTGTGAGGGCCCGGCAGTGTGAGGGCCCGGCAGTGTGAGGGCCCGGCAGTGTGAGGGCCCGGCAGTGTGAGGGCCCGGCAGTGTGAGGGCCCGGCAGTGTGAGGGCCCGGCAGTGTGAGGGCCCGGCAGTGTGAGGGCCCGGCAGTGTGAGGGCCCGGCAGTGTGAGGGCCCGGCAGTGTGAGGGCCCGGCAGTGTGAGGGCCCGGCAGTGTGAGGGCCCGGCAGTGTGAGGGCCCGGCAGTGTGAGGGCCCGGCAGTGTGAGGGCCCGGCAGTGTGAGGGCCCGGCAGTGTGAGGGCCCGGCAGTGTGAGGGCCCGGCAGTGTGAGGGCCCGGCAGTGTGAGGGCCCGGCAGTGTGAGGGCCCGGCAGTGTGAGGGCCCGGCAGTGTGAGGGCCCGGCAGTGTGAGGGCCCGGCAGTGTGAGGGCCCGGCAGTGTGAGGGCCCGGCAGTGTGAGGGCCCGGCAGTGTGAGGGCCCGGCAGTGTGAGGGCCCGGCAGTGTGAGGGCCCGGCAGTGTGAGGGCCCGGCAGTGTGAGGGCCCGGCAGTGTGAGGGCCCGGCAGTGTGAGGGCCCGGCAGTGTGAGGGCCCGGCAGTGTGAGGGCCCGGCAGTGTGAGGGCCCGGCAGTGTGAGGGCCCGGCAGTGTGAGGGCCCGGCAGTGTGAGGGCCCGGCAGTGTGAGGGCCCGGCAGTGTGAGGGCCCGGCAGTGTGAGGGCCCGGCAGTGTGAGGGCCCGGCAGTGTGAGGGCCCGGCAGTGTGAGGGCCCGGCAGTGTGAGGGCCCGGCAGTGTGAGGGCCCGGCAGTGTGAGGGCCCGGCAGTGTGAGGGCCCGGCAGTGTGAGGGCCCGGCAGTGTGAGGGCCCGGCAGTGTGAGGGCCCGGCAGTGTGAGGGCCCGGCAGTGTGAGGGCCCGGCAGTGTGAGGGCCCGGCAGTGTGAGGGCCCGGCAGTGTGAGGGCCCGGCAGTGTGAGGGCCCGGCAGTGTGAGGGCCCGGCAGTGTGAGGGCCCGGCAGTGTGAGGGCCCGGCAGTGTGAGGGCCCGGCAGTGTGAGGGCCCGGCAGTGTGAGGGCCCGGCAGTGTGAGGGCCCGGCAGTGTGAGGGCCCGGCAGTGTGAGGGCCCGGCAGTGTGAGGGCCCGGCAGTGTGAGGGCCCGGCAGTGTGAGGGCCCGGCAGTGTGAGGGCCCGGCAGTGTGAGGGCCCGGCAGTGTGAGGGCCCGGCAGTGTGAGGGCCCGGCAGTGTGAGGGCCCGGCAGTGTGAGGGCCCGGCAGTGTGAGGGCCCGGCAGTGTGAGGGCCCGGCAGTGTGAGGGCCCGGCAGTGTGAGGGCCCGGCAGTGTGAGGGCCCGGCAGTGTGAGGGCCCGGCAGTGTGAGGGCCCGGCAGTGTGAGGGCCCGGCAGTGTGAGGGCCCGGCAGTGTGAGGGCCCGGCAGTGTGAGGGCCCGGCAGTGTGAGGGCCCGGCAGTGTGAGGGCCCGGCAGTGTGAGGGCCCGGCAGTGTGAGGGCCCGGCAGTGTGAGGGCCCGGCAGTGTGAGGGCCCGGCAGTGTGAGGGCCCGGCAGTGTGAGGGCCCGGCAGTGTGAGGGCCCGGCAGTGTGAGGGCCCGGCAGTGTGAGGGCCCGGCAGTGTGAGGGCCCGGCAGTGTGAGGGCCCGGCAGTGTGAGGGCCCGGCAGTGTGAGGGCCCGGCAGTGTGAGGGCCCGGCAGTGTGAGGGCCCGGCAGTGTGAGGGCCCGGCAGTGTGACTGCCGAATCCTGATCTGGAGGAACAGTGCATGTAAAGTGTCAGCTCCTGGGCCCTAACCCCAACAGGAAGTCAGCTGTGTGCAGGAAAATGTCCCCCCCCCCCCCCCCC